CAGCATTCACTAAGTGGGACTTCTAAGCATGTTAATCAAGGTGCAGTCTGTAGTTTGACTAGTCAACTTCAATTTGATTCCTTTTTTTTTCAGTGATTTTCTGTAGATTTGCTGCTTTTCCTTATGGTCCGCTGTTCTATTGATAACCCTATAGTTAGATCTATGACTCCATATTAAATGTTCAATACTGTTTTTCTAAGGAAGAAATGCAGTGGAAATACAAACAGAAGGCAAGGTATGTACATTTTTATAGCACATTTAAATAGTAAGGCAATTCATTGCAGCAAAAAAAAAAAAAAAAAAAAAAAAATCATAGGAACAGCAAATTGCAGGTGATTAAATCATCAAAGAACATTTACTTCAAAAATAATAAAATTAATGATAAAAAAAATTACTATTATATAACAACAACATCTAACTATAGCATTATTGAGTTAAAGTTGTATTAAATGAGAGTAGATAAACGCAAATGTATTGGCACAGACTATTCTCTCTGTTTACTTTAAAACTCATTGGTCTCTATCCTGTATTTAAACATTGACGATCTTGAACACCGCTTATTTTGAAGAAAAATACATTTCCCACAATGCAAATGTACAACGACACAGTAAATAAGCTTGGTTTACAAAAAGGCTCCTTAAAAAAATAATAAGCTTGTAATGATAAAGCAGTGGATTATATGTAATACCTTTGAATTATAATAATGAAAAAAATAACACTTAACAACTAAATGACCAATGTAAGAGGAGGGGAAAAAAGAAAAAAAAAAAAATCTAACTGCTTTTATTTTGAAAGTAAAAGACAGGCTTATACCGGAAGTGATACTTTGGTCTCCTATGTTTTCAGATAACGCCATAGCATGTGGTTTGTTCTTCACTGATTGAGTGAACCCTGTTATTCAGCTCAGTTTCTCTGCTGCCTCTCTGCAGTTGTTTGAAACATATTAGATTCTGAACCGACGCTCCTGTCTCTTGTTTTCAAGGTAGGAAGGTTGATACCGCCGTCTTTCAACGTAGCTCGTGTTAGCAGTGTTAGCATACGAAGCTAATTTTCTTTACTGTGATTTATAAACTTAATATCTTTAAACTTCAGGACGCGTCAGTATGTAGAGAGATATAAATAAAAAAGTGTGTTGCGTGAGAGCTAATGAAGCTGATTTGATTGCTGCAATGTTTTTTGGTGTAACGCATCGTTCGGTGGTCAGGCAGGTTGGAGGCTGTTAAAGAATTTCCGGTTACTCTAAACCGAAGGTCTTCATGGGGGTCGTGAAAGTTTTGGTTGATTAGACTTTTTTTCTTTATATTCCCCCCTGTAATTTTTTTCCCTAATTGAAATGTCTTTAAATCCACATTAACATGAATTCAATACACTGTAGTAAACAGATAAATGGAGGCAGAAGATGTCTTTCAGTCATCATTGCACACATTTAGCGACACACAGGAGCTCTTTAAAGCTGGACACTGTTTCATTCACAACACCTGTCCCATCAACCAGGAACCAGAATCAGAAATACTTTAATAATCCCAGGGAGGGATTACTTTTATTACATTACTCCATGTGTAATAGAGTGACTATAGGACCAATATATTCATAATTAGGGGTCCCGCTCCATCTTGCCATCAGTTTGGGGGTCCTTGGCCTGGAAACCGTTGAAGACCCCTGATCTAAATGCTTTCCCAAATAGATTAGCTGTGTAGTTTTTGTTTAGATGTATCTGTGTGTATCAGGCTGTAACTGATTAACAAGTATGTCTCATTGTATTTTGTTAAGTTTGAAATATGTTAATTTTGCCATTTATAAGGGTAGGAAATATTGACCTATAAGTTTTATTTTATTTAACCAGGGAAAAAAAATACCTATTGAGATTAAAAACCTCTTTTTCAAGGGAGTCCTGGCCAAGAAGCAGCAAAGTTACATAAGATACACTAAACATAGATACATTAAAATAAATGACAGGTACATAAAAAATAAAAAACATATCAAGTAAAACAATTACAGATCATTGAGGCTGCTTCAAATTCTTTCACCTTCAACTTAAAAGCATTTAAAGATAAAAAATCAGTCAATTTCCAGTTTCTTTGTAAAATATTCAACTTACAACGAGCTGCGTAGCTAAAGACTTTCTTCCCTAGTTCTGTTTGGGCAAAAGGAGCAGTGAGCAACAGCTGATGGTTGGATCTCGGGGCATAAGAAGCCATGCTTCTCTTTGTAAGTAAGGTACAAATTTAAGAGGGCAGTAATCCAAGAACAGGCTCATAAATAAAAGTGTACCAATGACACTGCCTTCTCGTAGAGAGGAAAGGCCATCCCACCTGAGAGTACAGGTCACAGTGATGTGTCATGGCTCTACGGTTTGTGATGAACCTTATTGAAGCATGGTAAACCGAGTCCAAAATTTGAAGACATGAAGAAGTAGCATTCTTATAAAAAAGGTCACCATAATCTAAGACTGATATAAAAACATGGCAGAGACAAGGCGCTTTTTACTCCAAAAGAAAAACATGTCTTATTATGAAAGAAGAAGCCCAGTTTAACTTTTAATTTTTTAGCAAGTTTATCAATAAAAGGTTTGAAGGTGAGGGAGTCGTCAATTTCAATTCCAAGGTATTTGTATTCATGTACCACCTCAGTGACATTCCCCTCCAGAGAGGACACTACTGGAAGGGTTTGAGGCACCTTCCCATGATTTGAAAACAATAACTTTGTTTTGTCAGCATTAAGAAATAATTTCAAGATTAATAAATGAATACTGTACAGCAAAAAACGATTTCTGTAAGGAATTGTAATAAGTTTGTCCCGATATTTCATGGCATTTGATGTTTATAAAAAAGAATAAGACTTATTTTAAAAAGATGATTAATTTATTACTGAATTTGTAAATGATTATTTCAATAATTGATTAATCAAGATTAATCGTTGCACCCCTAAAACCCACAAATTCAAACTACAGAATTAATTCATACTTGGAGTATTTTCATTGTAAAACAGGTCAAGTGATTGTAGTGCTTGTTATTGCTCTTGTGCTCTTGTGAACTGCACACTACCCTGACTTATCTTATGAATAATAATTTATTATATGATATATTATTATATTCTTCTAATATAATAAAGTAACTGTTCAGTTGTATTTGAAACATAAAGGAGCATTTATTTCTTAATTGTAATCAACACTAGAAGAAATGTGCAAACCGATGTAGGATGATCTTACATGTTGGTTTGCTTACAATTCTCTTTGGTGTTTGATAAGCAATGCAGTGTTATACATTTCCTTGGTAAATATCAAAGAACATTTTTTTTTTCCTCCTTTAACCCTCCTGAGAATAAGAAGTAAAGTAAAATCACTTTGATTCCTTTAGAATTTACTCAAAAACTCTGGTCTCATTTCGTCATTAACCATCTGTTTCCTCTTGAAGCTGGCGAAGGAAACCACGGCCCAGAATTTAAAATGTCACAGGCCACCAAACGCAAACATGTCGTAAAAGAAGTCCTCGGAGACTTCATCACTCCCACAGAGAACCAGCAGATTGTGAAGGTAAACATGTCGAAAGACAGCACTGCAAAAACAATCTGAAATTAAGTAAAA